TTGCTTGGAAAAAAAAAAAAAAGAACCAAATGGGTTCTTTTTTGAAACCCTTAAACTGAAAGGGACTAACCTCCGCCTGACGCCTGTATTTTGTGTAGCATTCCTTTATAATGGACGATTCAAATACAAGAAACCATTATGATGATTTATGACATTGATGTTTGGGACTTGCTCTTAGCTTGGGGGTTTTTAAGTTTTAAAATGTTGTTTTTTATGTTTTCCAAAGAAATCAAGTGTATTAGGCAAATCCAACCCCACTAATCAGGATTCAGGGGAGATCAACCATGTACGTACATACCTTTTTAGGAAAAAAATATTAAGTAAATTATATTATAGAGAAAATGAAGGATAAGGAAGGCTTAACGCTTTGTCCAATTGATTTCCACTTTTTAGGGTTAGGGCTGCCATTTTTTTTTGAAATGCAATTGGTCAAGACTAATTTAATAAACAAAAAAGATTTTTGATCAAGAACCAGCTTTTTAAGGCATAACATAACAAATACTATAGTGTTTTGGACTCTTGTGTTATAATATTCATCCACGGATCGTGAACGTCTATGCCATTCACATGCACATCATCATGGATGCACCAATGTTGACTGTATCAGTGATGGCGTTAGATTATTTAGATATGACATCTATGCCCGTTAGCTTTCCTTGCTTTTTTTCCTTCTATTTAATAATATTTAACTTAATATGGTGGTATTTTTCTTCCTCATCAATGGTAGTCATAATCAATGTAAGCTTTACCTTTAAAAAAACACTCTTATCTGATCCAACTATCCAATCAAATTGACTTTTTTTTTGCTTTCGGGTAGATTAGAAGATGTGTATTTGCGTGCATGTAAACCAAAGATCTTCACTTTAATGGACTGTTGATACTGCTCTACACTCTTTGCCTTTTTCTCTGTTCAGCAGGTTTAGAATTTAGATCATCGAAAGATTCCCATTTTTTTAGAATATAAAATTATAACTATTATAGCTTGGACTGAGAATGGACTCCTCCTCCATATTTGCAATTTTCTTTTAGGGCTTGGCCTATAATCTAAGCCCAAAAGCAATCGGATATCGAACTATTGATACATCCATGTGAGATCGGGTCCAAATCAATTTCATTCTCTACCCTAGATGTGCAGAAACCAAAGTCTAATCATAATCATCAGTTCGGTTCATGCCAACTAGGCTAGCGAAGTCCACGTATAATGCATGTGGGTGGTGGGACTAAGGGGTCAATAACAAAACAGGTGGCCCAAATCAAATCGATTTTTTTTTTCTGACCGTTTGATCAAAATAACACAATTTCTGCACCATCACCCACCCAAAATGAGTGCCAGCTGAAATGCACAACACAATGACGAGTATCTTATCTAGCTCAGCCCTCACTCCTCAGGTCAGGTGGCACTAGGGATAGGGAGGGAGTACCTACTGGTGTAATAGTCTTGAAAAAAAAAAAGAAAAATTAATTAATAATTCCCTGCTGAACCTCTAATAAGTAATAAGATGAATTCTGTAAATCATATCACAGTTCACAGAGAAGTTTGGGATGGGGATGAATATATTTACTGAATCTGAATGGTAGAATTATTATGTTTTTGTTTTATTTTATATTTTTTATAGTATGTTTTATTATATATATATAGCAATTGCTCCGGACCCCTCCCTTGTAATCTGCTCCCTTCATTTGTAGGCATACTTACAATTATTTATTTATTTATGATAAAAAAGAAGCGACACAAGAACTGAGCTTTGCGCCTCTGCCATTATCCTACTTCACCACTTTAGAAAAAGGGGTTAAAAGCATTTAACAGAAAAAAAAAAAATAATGATTCTTCCTCACTAAATAAATAATTTATATCATATGCAAAACGAACACAGACACAGCAGTCCATCTCTCTCTCTCTCTCTCTCTCTCTCTCTCTCTCATATCCTCTTCCTCTCTTTCTCTTACCTTTTCCGAAATCGACGATGTCGTCTATCATAATTTCAACGTATTTTAATCTCAGCAAGCCGACTAATTTAATCTTAAATCCAGAGAGAATGGGGAACGAACCCTTACACCGCCACTCTGATCTCTGTGCCTTAATGGCCTTTTCCCTTTCCTCTCTTCTTCCTCTTCCTCCTCGTTTATACCTAATTCAACCCTTCTTCCATCCAGACAAAATTCTATCTCTAGAAAATCGTGACGATCCATTTCGATCTCGTTGATCCCCCCTATAACCGCCGGTCATGGCTTCTCTGGTACGTTTCTTATCTTGTTTCTTATCTTCTTATATACCTCTTCCTCCTTCCAAGAATACTCTTCTTTGGTTTCGTCTTGGATTTTCTTTTCATCTCTTGATCTATCTATCACACTAAAGAAAAAGGGACATTGTTCTCACTTTGGAATTTCACAGCTGGGTCTTTTTTGTCCCTATATTTGGTGATTAGGGCTTTGTGTGAATTGAATTGATTTTTCATATAGAAAGCTATTTCTAGGTTTGGAGAAAGTCCTAATCGATGTCGAAGGGGGAGGAAGGTGGTTCTCATAGCCGTAAGAATAATTTGAATGGTAGGAAAGGTGTGATCGACCAAGGTTTTGGTAATGGTTCGTGGGTGAACAATCATAATTCTCCGTCCAAGAAGACTAGGGTTTCTGAGAGTCTCCACAACCACAACACCGATGAGAGCTTGGATGGATTTTATACCAAGGAAGGCGAGGATGTTGTTGGTTCATCGGATGTAGAACTTCAGGATGCAGATTATTCTTACGTTCCTTCCCTCAGTGATGAGTTGGCACTTCTGATCTTGGCTAGGATTCCGAGATCGGAATATGGGAAGTTTTGCTTTGTAAACAAACGCTATTTGGATTTACTGAGGAGCGGTGAGCTCTACAAGATTAGGAGACAGATTGGGATTAAGGAGCCGTCGGTTTTCGTGTTGGCAAGCGGGGAGTCGCGTTGGTGGGCATTCGATCGGCGATTCATGTCATGCAGGAAACTTCCGATTTTGCCATCCGACCCGTGCTTCGCGGCTGGTGATAAAGAATCGTTTTGCGCAGGAACCCACCTGCTTGTATCGGGCAAAGAGATTGAGGGTGTGGCTATCTGGAGGTATGACTTGACGACGGACAGATGGTTCAGGGGGCCTTCGATGATTAGTCCAAGATGCTTATTTGCATCCGCCAGCTGCGGAAACGTTGCGTGCGTGGCCGGTGGGATTGGGATGGGGACCGGCATGGAGATATTAAGTTCAGCAGAGAAGTATAACCCTGATGATGAATCATGGGTTCCACTTCCCAGGATGCATCGGCGGAGGAAGCTGTGTTCAGGGTGTTACATGGACAACAAGTTTTACGTGGTTGGAGGGCAAAATGAAAGGGGAGTTGATCTCACCTGCGGGGAGTTCTATGATTCTGAAAGGAACTCATGGGAATTAATTCCAGACATGTTGAAGGATGCTCCGGTTTCGACTTCGCGTTCTCCACCTCTTGTTGCAGTTGTGAACAACGAGCTCTACTTGCTGGAAGCTTCTTCAAACCATCTGATGGTGTACTTGAAGAAGAGCAATTCATGGAAGGATATGGGGATGGTCCCAGTAAGAGCTGATCAGAGCAGAGGTTGGGGTGTAGCTTTCAAGTCTCTGGGTGATGAGCTGCTTGTAATTGGTGGGACTGCAACATCTTACGGTTATGGAGGCCATGGGCATGGGATGACTATATGCATTTGCTCTCCGGATCCCAATGCCAATGATCTCAAGTGGAGGTTTCTTGGGGGTGGTGGTAATCGGATGAGCCACTTTGTTTTGAATTGCTCTGTTATGGTAGCTTAAGTATTATTGTCTAAGCCTTGAGGAATTCCTCGAGAATAAAAGGCTACCCTCATTCAAAACTCCAATTGTAAGTTTGTTGGGCCGGGTGTTCTGATTTGTCCATGACCGAAACTGTGATTCCTGTTTCTGAATTTATTTTCATCATTCCTGTAGGCTGTATCAAAGTACGATTCACTGAACACTCAAGTTTTTAAAACAATTGGTTTCACAGTGTCTTCTTGTTCGGCACAGCACTCCCTGTTTAGTGTAATGGCTATTTTTTTTCTTTTGATATTAAGGAAAATAAAAAGTTTAGTGTAATGGTTACATAAATGAAGAAACAGCATTTGTGTTTACCGAAAAAAAAACGCAGCAGCAACAAACTGAACTGTTCAAACCTGGGGAAGCTCTAAAAAGTAAAAACCTTCCAAGTATGCGTGGGGAGTCTTTAGGTAGATCTTTTGACAGCCTAATAGCCTAATAGACGAGAAGACACGTTGGGTTTTTTGGGGTCTTTGTCTTTAAAGACGAAGACTGTTTGGTAAGTGTCGTGGGCTCATGGCCTACTGGGTTTTGATAAGAACAGCTGGGAATGCTAATTTTAGCGTGCAAAGACCAAAAGAGTTTTCATTTGAAGCTTCCTACTTTTGCCTTTTTCAGTCTGTTCGCATGCTCATCTTTAGGTATTTCGATCTAAAATGGGAAAAGACCAAACACTGTACGATTTTCAAGTTAACACAACTCTGTATTGTTTAATGTTAAATACATGGTTTGCATTTACGGAATCTAATTGGGTTGAACCTTGAGAAAGGGTGCAAATACAAACATGTGCATGGTTCATGTACATATGCTTCATTTATATTTGCCTGATCATATTTGTATTTGCACTCTGCACTCTTCCAAACGGAGCCCAAGGTTCAAACTTCAAACTATTGGAACATATTGGTGCATATCATATGATATATTTCATTTTTTTAAAGCCACGGATATGTTGTATATTAGGAGTCTGGGTTTTAACTTTTTAGGTGATGTTTAGCATCAATGATGATTTTCCAGAAATCGGTGCTACATAGGATTCACAATCAGAACTTGAAGAATCAGTGAATTTTTTTTTCTTATTTGGTTGGTTGATTATGTTGATTTCTGGGAAATCAGCCAAAAATCAATTATTGAAATCAGCCATTTTCAGGGATCACTTTTTATGGTGATTTTTTTATTTTTAACTGATTCGGGTTTTTTGAAGATGACATGGCATCCAACATGGCACTAAATAATAACTCTAATACAAAAATAATCAGCCCTTGAAAGCTTATATGACATAAATGATATCAAACAACAATTATTTGATGATTTTTCAAAAAATCACTGATTCTAGAAATCGATAATTTCTGAATAATCAGCAAGGAGAAATCAACGTTGATGACAAACATCACCTTAAATATTAAGAGTTTTGGTGAAATCATTAAAAAAAAAAAACTTTTGGTGATTTGAAACTCTCGATATACAAATTGTGTATATTGTGAAATGGTCACTTAGTATCCCTCCAAATAAGAGGTGTGGGATCAAATCCACAGAACTTCAGGCTCTTTGTGTTATGATCTATTGTGTTCACATAGTTTGAAGCCACACGTTTAGGACGATTATAGGTTATTTTAAGCCCTACCTCTTATTTAAGCTGTTAAAATTGGCATGGCAAATTAAATAAGACTTCGAAAAATCTTTAGATTCAATGTTCTTAACATTAGGATGTTAGAATAGAAATCAATTACATTGAAAAAAAGATGGGGGTACATAACTTCTCCCTTGAAAAACTAGAGTTATACATAACCTTACAAGATAGGAGGTAAATGTCGATTTGTGAATTGTATTTAATATGGCCAAGATGATGTCTTTTATTTTTCTTTAATTGGTCATATTACTCGTTCTCAGAGGCATACATGCCAATTTTGCATTTTGTAGGACTAAGAGCCTGTTTGGGAGGGCTTCATCTGCATTGATTGAGCTACGAAGCTACTAAGACTAGCTTCATAGGAAAGCCAATTTAACCTTAAAAGTAAAATATATGTTGCCTTTCTGGGCTTTTCACCAAACATGGCTTCTAGGCTTTTCATGTGGGCCCATCTTAGTGTTAGAAGCCACCGTGTGAAAGCCCTCCCAATATGCAAATGTAATTTTCATGAGCTTTGTCAATCTATACAAAAAGAAAATGTAAGGAAAATGTAACTATAGCCTATAGTTAGTACCCTGTACGTTGGGCCTAGTGACATTTTGATCCGGAATTTTAAAACATGATAGTTTATTATCGTACTTTTAAAACATGTCAATTCAGTACCTGTTGTTAATCAACAGTTAAGTGGCATTTGAATAGACACAAATGCCCTTCAAGTGTCATCTAATTCACTTTACCAACCATCCAAACATTAACAAAAAATCAACAGTCTCCAATACTTGTCTTTTCTATTTAAGAAAGTTGGGATCACCATGCCATTTAAGGACTGATTAACGTGGATATTAAATTGTAAACATTGAATTGATGCATTTTAAAATTCAGAGACCAAAGTAGCACTAGGCCCGAATTTTCTCACTTACTAATTACTATGTAGTAATCACAAGGCAAAAGTTTAGAGGTTCCCAAGCTCCGGTACAGACAATCAATTATCCTGCATTAAAGCCCCAAGTATTTTTCTCTAGGATTCATTTACAGACAATCCTCTAAAACTGACTACTCATGTTAGAGTTCAGACCATTCACTTCTCTAAGATTCATTTACGTTTTCCTGCTCTGCGGATGGTTCTAGTCGAAGTTAGAGTAATGGTTGGCAAAGTGTGGAAAGGACTCTTTAAAAACTTCGCTGCCTATTTTCATCTTCCTTATTTTAAGAACAGCTAACGTAACGTCTAGCAGATTTTTCAGTCTCAACATCTGACCCTCACTCTGCCACATGGGAGGATCAGGTTATATATTTTCATATATTCTCCGATTTCCTGACTTCCAAATTAAAGGGAGCTATGGCAACTTTCCCAATAGAAAATAGAAAATCTCATCTATTGCTTGATATAACTGAGATGACAGCAAGTTCAACCATTTTTGTGTGTTCAGTATCGGGGAAAGGGTATCAAAGTACTCGTACGTTAATCATTGATGACCATTTACAATTTGATTGATTCTGGATCTCTGTCTCAATTAAATTGTCCCTGCACCTGCAGATACCAACCTTCCTAAGATGGAGCCTTGTAGAGATCTACTGATCACCCCGCTATGCATAATCGGCTACATAAATAATCACGAGCGCTCATGCCTGGTCAGCAAACTGCTGACCCAAAAACCGTTCGGTTTTAATTTTAATTTTTTTTTGTTAGAATGAACCAACTGTTTGGTTCAAACGGTCAGACTGTTCAACCCAAAAACTGGACCTCTAACCGATTCATTGTCCTGGTCGGTTTTAAAAACCTTAATGGCTTCCATGTTTTCCGTTTTATTGGATTTCACAAACAAGCATCTGAATCACATGTCCTTGCCTCATTGTAAATGGAGGGGGATAGGGAATACCTCTCTCTCTCTCTCTCCCCATTTTCACTCTAAAGTCCAAACGCCTTTTATCTTCACCAACCTACCAAATACCTGTCGCGCATCACGTGATCGGAGCCTGGAATTGGTCCTCCCACAGCTCCAGCACCGCCCCCCCCGCCCCGCCCCGAAAGGTATGATTCCATTTTTCTATCTATGACCATGCTAACTAAATATAGTGTTGAAAATCCTTAGTACCCTTATTTTTAAAGTTATGTTCAGAGCTTCAAATCCAGTATGAATCCCATTTTTGTGATTAATATTTTATTATAAGAATGCTTCTTTCTCCTTATACATAAATGATTAATATATTTGCAACTTCTATAAAACATAAAAATAAGAACATAATTTTTTAAATGCAAAAAATGAAAGAAAAACTATCTTTTTTTTTTTGTGAAGTTCTTTTGAACAATAATAACAATCAACTGAATGCTATCGATCTCCGAAAAGCCATTTTAGGAAATGAATATAAAGAAGACTTGGTAGGCACAAATTTCAGTTGGAGGAGAATTTTTTGTGAAGATTTTGTTTCACATTACTTTATTGTCAGTGCAAATTTAGAAAAAAACTATATCAACATTTTCCAAAATAAAAAAAAAAAAAAAATTGAAGGGTTCTATCAAGGCATCAATCCTCCATTTTATCGGACAACGCTTATCTCATCCAACCATTGGGGGGACATCTCATCAATAGCTACATTTTTCATAACTACTGACAACTTGCCCAACTAAAAAATGTTTTTGGTACTAAGCAAAAATGCTTACGACCAGAACCGAATGTTCCTTCTGGATGGTGATTTTTGCTTACACACCATGCTTTGCTAGAAAAAGCATTATTCAGCAAACCACTTCTGAGTTCTGACAAAGAATAATAAACAAATAATTAACAAACCCAAACGCAATTTCCAAGAATGATCATTTGTGACCTTAAGGTCAGTTCACAATAGATCTCCGTGCTAAACTTTTTTGATCGTTAAAAGAATATAGAAACTTCAAAACATCAGATCAGAAAAACTCTGATTCTCTGGACGTTAATACATTATCAATACACACCAACAGATACAGTTGCTTACCCAAAAAAACATAAAAAGATACGCTCAGGTATTCGTGGACTGGATGCACTATCAATAGAATGCACATGATTGTTTCTTTGAAATCATTTTTTTTATGTTTCTTTAAGATCATCGAGATAGCCAAATGATGCGCATCTGAGAAGCTAAAATAATTAATTGCAGAAAAAATAAAAAACCAACCTCCGTATGGCAATCTATGTTATAAGCCCATTAACCCTAAGGAAAAAAGGAGGAAGTTGTTCGTGGAAATGGTAGATCTATCTGAGTAAAATGGTATGGGATCAGCAGAGTGGTGGATGATCTTAGAAATAAACAAAACCAAAGAATTATCATGTCAAAGAATATTGAATTAAATGAGAGGTTGTGTCAGAAAAGAATAATAGACAGAACAAATAAAAAATTACCCTGATATGCAGCAATTGATTTTGGTAATAGTATTACCACTGCTACTATACAACTTTAACCCCGTCGGATAAAGGGATAGAAGAAAAAGTATAGCTACATATCAACTCCAGGGCACGTGTATATTCACTATTCCAGTGATCAATATAGAAGGATTCCTTTTCATTTTTTCCCCTAAATGTTAAATTAAGGCTATGTTTGGTTTGAAGGAAAAAGTAGGGAAAGGAAGGGAAAGACAGGGAAACCAATACAAGGTTGTAAAGGTTTCCCTACCTTTCCCTTCCTTTTCCTACATTTTCCTTCAAACCAAACATAGCTTAAATGATCCAACTTCAGAAATTTGTAAGATATAGACATCATAAGTACTTTCCAAAATATGTCCAGCTCATAGGCTTTCCATTCTAAGAATCCTAGTTCTTTTGAAGCTAATTTAGCAGGGCATCATTCATTGTGCAAGTATTCATAAATAAATTTACAGTATAAATGCACATAATTATAATGTAGCAGAAAAAAAAAACTATTAAACATATTCAAGAATCCAATCAGACTCCAAGAGATTTACAACTCTACATAAACTGACAAGATTCCCTAAAACAATTTCTCCATATTAACATCATCAATCTACATGACAACCATGGCTGAACATGATATAGGCTCATAACTGTAAACGGTAACATATGGAAGGAGAAAAATGGAAAGGACAAAAGTTAACATAGAAATAACATAAGTTGTACTTGAATGCTTAACAATACAAATCTTCAACTAATAATGGTAGCTGTATCTGTAAGGTCTTAGAAGTCAGTTGCCAGAAACAGAGGATTTCTCAGTGAATACCTCCAGTTTTACGAATTATGCCCATAAAACTACTTGGTTGCAATTCACAACAATAAATTCATGGAAACCTGCAAGTGTTCACACTCAAGAAGATTTATATTACATGTACATAATTATTACAGTATATATAGAGTATGGCCATGTATCCTGATATCCTGTGCTTATAACATTAAAATAACAAGGAATAAAGCAAATTATCAGAGCTAGAAGTCAGCAGTTAATCTGAATTCCCAACAAGTCTTATGCGAATAGAGAGTGCTGACCTATTACATGAACAGTATCTGCTATGTACTAAGCTTTCTCCTTGGATTGTGCAGGACACCAGGTGATCCTTCAAACAAATCCAATAAATAGTTCTCTAGATCCTCCGGTGTGTACTTTATGTATTTTCCAGCATGTCTTCCACTCTCTAGATGACTGCCAAACCTTCCCATAAATGAGCGATATGCTGGAATCACCTTTTCCGATATAGATATCCGAAGCTCTTCTCGAAGTTGAGGATCTGGGACCTTCCATACCGTCTGGTTCCTATATATCTCTTCAAAACCCAAGTTGAAGTTCTTAAATCTCTCCTTAAGAGCCACCTTGGATACATTACTCGAGCTCCCACTGCCCCCAATACCTTCATCCTTCAAGCAAGACAATACTTTGCTCCAAGATGCTCTAAGATAACCTGTGGCATACTGCCGTATCTGGCTACGACGTTTACGGACCCAGTGATCTCCCAAGAGCTTGCCAAGTTCAGAATCTTTCACTTTTTGTACTATGTATAGTATATTATTCATCAAGAATATGTATTGCATTGCAGCATCCTCATAGTGTTTCGACTTTTCCTCAAGGTTTGATTCCAAAGATGAAATTAATGATAGCAAGCGATGACCTAATGGAGATATGCTGCCTAATTGCAGGGCATCATTATTATCACCTTCCACTCGACCTGAGCTATCTGGACTGCCTTCTAGAAGTAAATTCAGTGAATCACTGTAATCGACAAGCAACCTTGTATAATTCATCACATAACGCGTAAGTGGGTGAATCTCACCACCTTGGATTGGTTTCCGGGACGTTTCACTTTGAACGGCATTTTCAAACTCAGAAAATGTGCCCCTTGCTGCCTCACCTAGCCTAGACAGTATTTCCCGTGCCTCGCTATACACGAAATTGCAAGATTCATCGGCAAAATATGATTGCAAATCTAGGAGAACATCCGCCAGAGCATCATACATGTCAAGTATCCGAAATAGCTTCTCTGAAGACCTTCGTCCAATCGCAATCGCCTCGCCAAAATTCAACAGTTGCATCACGCAGCCTTTTGTAGTCTCAGAAAAGCATACCTCTTTGATCAGTTCAGAACCACCGAAAAGTTGATCACAGAGCCGCTTCTCACCGGACAAGAGAACCCTAACGACAATCTTAACAGCCTGGATCCACTTCTTCATTTTCTCATCCAGAGACCTCCATTCGATCTTCTGCACTTCCTCGATACTCAGCTTCTCGACGCCAAGAATCAATAAGCACTCGTCCAGAACATCGCGACGGACGCTAGAGTAAACCTGACAGCACTCTTTCTCATACCCCGACCTAATCATCCTATCCGCAATCTCTTTGAGGTCAGCAATGGCATCCGGATGAATCAAATCGACACAGAGATCGTCCCCTAAACTTCCCCCTCTCTCCTCGATGCAGCTCTCATGTTCATCCTCGGCAGAGCTCTCGAAGTCCTCAATGTCTCCATCGTTGGAGGTGAAGGAAAGGGAAATTCTATGGATTGATCCATAAAGCCGCTCGGCATCAAGAGGGACAGTATTCCGTATCAGGATGTGGCGGAACTCATCCTCCAGCCTCGACATGGCCAGCTGCAGAACGCTCTCGGCGTGGTCCATAATTTCACCGTCCGATGACAGCGTGAGATCCTCAGTCAACTGGAGGATCTCATCGACAGCTGAGAGGTAAGCAGCGGCCTCATCGGGCGAATCCTCCCACGGAGAGGTGTGGTGGCGAGGAGTGTCGGAGTTGGAGTTCCAGCGAAGGACGATCTTCTCAGCTGCTTCGAGTCTCTCTTCAGTCTTGCTACGACCGGCACCTCCACCGCCTTTAGAAAGTAACTCGGTGATGGTAGAGAGGCGATTATCGAAGTTGGAGAGGATTAAAATCATGTCCTCCGTAACGTTCTTTGGAGTGCCTAAGCTTTTCACAATCTGTTGAGCTGCAGCCATGACCCTCTCATCTCCGTCAATAGTCGCTGCCATCTTTTCCCTTATTTTGATAGTTTCTTTTTCTAAGGTTGATTTGATAATAGAGACTAGGGTTCTAAAACGCACAGTGAGATTGAATGAAATTGGAGAAAGGAAGAAGAAGAAGAAGGACCGAAGAAAACTGACCTTTGATTTCTAATTTAGGGACTCGGGAGATAACTTCGAGCCCTAGCCCTAGTTGCCATTTCCTCCGATTTTCTTTTTCTCCACTGTCTTCCGACCTTCCCAACCAAAGCTGTCTGGCCGGGCTTTTAACTCAATTGAACGCTTCTACTTCAATCGAGGAATGTAGAGAGTCGCTTTTTTATTCTTGGGGTGTGCATTGCGCACCCCATGACGCCGTCAATCGTCACGTGGACAGGATTTGGGGGCCTCTTTCTTTAATGTGTGTTAATAACTTATGTACGGTAATTGCCGGTTACCTCTCGCCACCATGCCTTGTGTAGTGAAACTGAAACGGAAAGGGTATCATCCCCTCCCCGTCCCTCCAGACTTGAACTGTCAGCGAATGGACGGTATTCGATAAATGTCCGTATCCGACATTCGATTTCGATTAAAGTAAACTTGGGTCTTGGGGTTCAAAAATTAGATCCGTTTACAATCGAATCGGATCCGGTATTCTGAATTCTGTCTCAACCCGATCCTGTTAAGATTCGATTTTCGATAACTTTAAATGTCATTCAATAGCATTGATTGCTTTGTGTTTTAGTGGGAGAAATAATTAAATAAATGAAATATTTAAAGGAAAGTAATCAATTCAGCTAATAACCTCTTTAAAAAATTTTTGATCTAAAAGACAAAGTAACTAATCCCTCAGGAGCAACAGTCATACTCGTACACAAGCAAACTTTGCATAGATTTCCTTCTTTTTTTTTTATTTCAAATCGAATACAATGTTTTTAGTTTATTGGTGATATGTAGCATCCGAATTCAATCCCAATCCAAATCGAAAATAGAAACCTAACCAGATTACATTACAGCCCTACCCCACCCCCATTGACCTGCAGTGTGCTGGTTGTTACTTAGCGCTCAGCGAGAAACTTGTAATAAACTGATCTCTATTCCCTAGGGGTGTTCGAATCTACCAGCAGATGGGGTCTCTTTGAGAATATCAATTGAGCCAATTATCAACGGTCAACCTATGCAATTTGCATAGAATGCTTCAACCCTCTGATCTTCTAAATTAATGAACGGTAGAAAAAAGCTGTGACTGTTAAGACGGGATGGTTTGTATTGACTCAGTCATTCCCCACAAGTGGCAGATTAAATTAAATAAAGGGGTCTACGCCCATAGTCTATAAATAAACAAGACCTTCATTTTCCAAGTCCAACGTATGCAATGGGTGTTTGATAGTAGAGAGTTTCACAAGCATTCCGTTTTTGTTAATATGTTCATCCACAAATAAATGGAATGGGCAAAAAAGTCCATTTGGCAATCTTGTTTTTCAGAAAAAAAAAAAAATCAAATTGATATTTTTTGAATCTCCATGGTGATCTTGAATCACCTTGTATTAAACTTTGAAAACACAGATTTTTTTTTTTTTTTTGAAATGTTATATAGCTTTTGTTATAAATATATTATTATAAGTTAAATCACTTTAAAATCTCAACCAACCTACGGAATACATGTATATCGGGGCTCAGTCGTAGGACTTGATGATGGCGGGTGGCTGACTGGCCCTTACCATCAATTTTGTCGTGAAGCGTGTCTTGTAGCGAAACGAGAGATGCAATATAGGAGTGTGGTGTGGCGTTAATGGTTTAGAACCCACTGAAACGTCGACCAATCGGGTCATGATTCATGAAGTGATCCATGCCGTGTCCATCTATATATCTAAATTCTAGACGAGAGTAAACCCATTCTAAATTTATAATATTCCATGTATATGCATAGAAAGCAAAAGGTCACACCTTGATTTTGACATGGACAAGCTTTTCTTTCTAGTTGTAGATGTAGCTGTTGTATATGAAAATTCTTAATCCTCCTCCTTCACTCTCGCCATTGGCCTTCATCGTATTGTCCATGTCACTTAGCTTCTTTGCTTTCCGGTTTCCGCATCAATAATCCATCACGGCCAACAATACCTTTACCATCGCATCCCTTTCTGCCTTCAAATCCGGAGCTCCTCTTCCTCTTGTCAAATCCATCCCTTTCTTCTTCTATCCATTCATACATGATAAATTCACAAGTTTTTTTCGTTCAAAGTGGGTGAATTGGTGATTACAAATACCGGCCAAGAATACCTTTCTTCCTCTTACGTTAATTATAAGTAATAACACACATTTCTCTTCTCTTTTATTCCCCTGTCTTACCTTTTTTATTTTTCTATTTGAGAGGTGTTGCATGGCATGGGTGAATTGATGATTACAAATATATGATGTTTCATCACTTTGGAAGAGAAATAAGTTGGGCACTTATACCGTGACCAGACTTATCTCAATCAAAATCCATATTCCTCTGTCACCTCCTTTGAATGGTCATTAATCTGACAAATTAATAAATACCAAGTGTTTGAATGCAAGGCTCTATGTGGAGGAATTCCTACAAGAAGTAAGCTGAAACCATGGAATAGAAATGCAGGGGTATCATGCATTTTTTGCAATCACGAAGATGAGGGTTTTCAAATGTGACTTTGCAATAGCATTTTAATGTCAAGCCCAACTTGGTATAAACCCTAGTACAATGAATGGTGAACACCTACAACAACTTATTTCGGATTGGCTTCAGTCACTTGGGCAATCTTTTAATGTAAATATCAAATTTTGCTTTCTGTCCAAATTTCAAGTGCTTCTATATATGATCTGGGAGGCGCGTAACAAAAAGTTTCATCTAAACAAGGATGAGGATCCCGTCTCTTTGGTGGACAAAAGCAATGAAATAATTGTTGATTCATGTCTCACTCTCTATCAGGACAAATTAAATGCATTGTCCCTCAACCCAACAACTAAGAACCATTATCTATATTCACTGATGGATTTTATGATCAACACACAAACAGCGTAGGCATTGGTTTTGTCATCAACAAATCTGATGAAAGGCATATCATTGCAGCTTGAAGGCCAACCTGCAGAGCCATTGATAATGATGCAGAGCTTCGTGCAATCATCAAGGGCTTAGAAGCTGCTATAGTGTTGCAATGCCAATCAATGCAAGTTTTCTTGGATGCTGAAGTAATAGTAAAGAAGTTAAACCTTCATGGATCGATCAAGTGCGCTTTGGGCAGATCTTGCATCTCCAAAATCAATTTAGGGATTTAAAAGTCATTTACATATCTAGAACTAAGAACACTTTAGCTCATTTTTTAGCTTATTATGCTTGTAAATATCAAAGGTACTCTATTATGGACATGCCACCTTATACAACTCTACTCACAGTATAATTTAATCACCATTCTTTTGCCTGAACAAAAAAAAAAAAAGTTTCAAGTACGTAACACAATACTTTAACCTTATTCAATTAATATTTCGATTCCCAACCAAAATGTAATTTCATTTCATTTAATGGTCCTTTTTCACTCACGGATTTGCTACAGGTCAGACGCCTAAAATGCTACCACATTCTATTGAGAAATACAAGGAAAGCAATATGCACATCTGATATGAGTCTGCAATCTGCTGCTGCGTTGTTTTTTCAGGTTTTTTATTTGGTATGTTATTATTATTATTATTATATATGTGTTTTTCAGTGCCATATGAGCATATTATTACTAGTAATAATAATCGAAAAAATGGGAAAACACTAAAAAAAGTGTTTTTTCAAATCACATTTTTTCCGATTTCCAAGGTGTGGTTTGAGAAAGTAGGCATTTGGCATCGATGCCATTGCTTAAGATATGTTTTATGAGAAAAAGGTGTTATATGCACGAGGGTTTATGGCACCGTTTTCTCAGAAAATGATTTCATTTATTTTGTTTATGTCATCAGTGCTGCCACATAGGTTGCTTTCTCGATAAACAACACTAATTTTATTTGGTACCGATGTTGTATAACTGTTTTTAGTATTGGTCTACATTATCTAACGTCCAAGATAATGCCACATTGATGCCATGTCATTACACCATTGGCAATGATGAGTTATTTTTTTGAGAAAACATTGAATTTGATATTTTTCAAATCACACTTTCCTAATTTCTAAAACATGGTCTGGAACAACATTTTTTTTCTAAAAAAATAATGCTAAATAAGAGACCGTTTTTTGAGGCACCGCTTTTTCTGACATGACAATAATACTTGGACCTATCACAAGTGTTTTGACGTGTTCTAGTTTAGGTTCAATGTGGAGCCATATATATAAACCACCGATGAATTCATGTTTTATAGGTTGTGCATGATTTTGTTATCAGTACATCAGGTCCCATCTGATAATTGCACGACCAATTTATATTCGATAAGGTATGTATAATGACGTGTTCATTTATGATTGGATTATGCACCTTATTATCAACCTTTTACTTCCATTAGATCCTGCACGATCATTTGCGACTCTTTAGATGGACCCTAATCTGACTCAAAAAAGATGTGTACAATCGATATCTGCTGCAAATGATAAGTGAGCATTTGTTGGTACATTTAGTAACCATGCTGTAGTTTACTCTTGTCAGGATTTCGATGTACAAGCCTTGCTTGTAACAAAATATGGAGAATATGACACATAGGTCGTGTTTGGAAAGTTGAGCCTTAAAAAGCTAGGGTGGCGTTTGGAAGGTTGAGACTTAAAGCAATTAAAAGAGGTTGTCCTCTTCAAATTCATTTTTTTATTTTTCATCATTATATGTGAGCATTCATTAGGGCTGTTGATGGGCAAGTATACTCAAAAGAACCGAACCAATTGAACTGATTATGTATGTATATGTTTAGCATTGATGCTGTAGATATAACATCATTTTGTCAAATACGGTATTGTTGATGTGTGGGTTAGAAGCACCGTTTTTTGGGAAAATGGTGTCGTTTTTTTGTTTGAAAATGTTACTGTCAAGTATGACGTTTTTCGGAGCAACATCAATACTTTATGTTTGGTACCAGTGCTCTATGTTTGTTTTCAGCAATGCTACCCATTATAGGAAGTCCACGTCACTGCCACATCATGTTTTCATTGGCAACAATGAGTTGCAATCTGAAAAAACACCAAATTTGATGTTGCTCCAAACCATGCCTTCTCGATTTCCAAGGTGTGGTTTAGAGCACCGTTTTTTCCGATGTTGCACTAATGTGTCACCATTTTCTAGAGCAACGACATTAATGCCAAACAGACACTATATGTTTGGCATCAATGTTGTA